AGAGAGAGAGAGAGAGAGAGAGAGAGAGAGAGAGAGAGAGAGAGAGAGAGAGAGAGAACACACATGGCCGGCAAGCCACTCCCACCAGGTCACATAGCTGGCAAGCCATTCCCACAAAGGAGGCTACATCCACAGAATAGGTTCGAAAATTTTTTGAAACACACCACTGACCTGAACCAAGATCAAAGAGAAGGGATTTGAAATAGTAATTTATAACAGATATTTCTTAGATATATTTACAGAAAAAAATAAGGAAAGAGAGGGAGATGTGAATGAACCTAATGCTGTAAATCAACTCTTAGGGGAAAAAACAATTGTGATAAACAAGAAAGAAAAAGCAATACGATGTAGACCCTACTATCTGTTAGCCTGGACACATTCCATTCAACTCTTTTCTTAATTTATCTTCCTCAGCCAGTCTGAGCCTTAAGTTGATCAGCTCTCAATCCAAACATCAAAGGCAGACAATAAAGTTGATTTGAGCTATATATGAATCCAGGTCTCTTCCCCCAGAATCTCTACCTTTTGCCAAAGCAAATCATAAAAAAAATCTCCAACTGTGATCTGCCATCATGGGGATTGCTAGGCACAATTTAAGAGAAATGCTGGTTAAACTGCAGAACTATAGACTAGCAATGGCTTTTAGTCTTTGAAACTGTATAATATCTCTTGAATTGCAAGCACCAAACCTTAAATACGAACTGTTTGAGAATGATAATCAAATTGGGATACTTATTCTAGAGAAGATCTATCTATGAGTTTACTATGATTTGATGGTACATAATCAGCTGTACCACCAAATTACACACACACACAGAGAACAAATATCTTGTATATTATTTACACATACAATAAAAATGAGAATACCTAATGGTGTTGTCCTGTAATCTTTTTCCATCCTGGTGGTCTATAAATAAATTAGACTACAATTCCCATATTTCCTGCCAACAAGGCTTCCAGGTCTTGTGATTGGAGAATTTGTGATTGTAGTTATCTTGAAACTAGGTCTGTATGAACCTTATTTTTTTCTTCTTTAGCTAAGCCATCATTCTTTTGCTTTGTCCACAAAACATGCTTTCTGGGAATTAACTAAGCATGTTGTGAAACTAATTCTGTGGCTTTACATGATCTACTGAATTAACCAACTGGGATGAATTCCAGCAATATGCTTGGGTGAAAAACGGGGGGTATTTGGGGGTTCAGTGTGCTAGGCATACATAGCAGTTCCCTGTATCTTGCCCAATTTATCTTCCTCATATCTTCTTGAGTGTGATCTCAAGACTGGATTGCTGTAACGTGCTCTACATGGGGCTGTCCCTGAAGAGTGTTCGAAGACTTCAGCTAGTCCAGAATGCAGCCGCGTGAGCGATTGTGGGTGCACCTAGGTTCACCCATGTTACACCTATCCTCCGCGAGCTGCACTGGCTTCCCATTGGTCTCCGGACACGCTTCAAGGTGCTAGTCGTTACTTATAAAGCCCTGCATGGCAT